CCTCAGCACCACCGCAAGCACCGGGCCACCTGGCCGTGCCAGGTGGATCAGAAGATATGGACGTATCTCGATTAACCCAAGCCTGGAAAAACATCAATCAGCCAAGGCCGGACACCACGATCAATAGTCTCTTGACTAGGTTCACAGAACCACCACCCGAACGTGAAAGTGACAGACCTTTGATGCCTTTCTATATCCCAAAGGTTGGAGAGAAAATGGTTTGTAAACCGCATCAACTGTGTGGCCGCAAAGTGTTCCTGGTAGAGCCCAACCTTGTGAAGTCCGAGGACAATTCAGAATCGCTCAACATTTCGGATGCAGTAAAAGCTCGTAAGATCGAAATGGATGCCATGAGCGAGGTCAGGTTCGGCGAAGTCATTGATCAACAGGCCGCACTGGCCTACTGCCAGAAACACGGCATTAAACCCATCAGTACCAGATGGGTAGTGAACCCAAAGGTCATTGAAGGCAAGACCGATGTCCGTGCCCGCATGGTTGTGCAGCAAGTCAAATCAGGGCAGTCCAGCGCCTGGAACTTGGGAATCAGCTCGAGTACACCATCACTTGAAGCCGTGCGTGCCATCTTGACACAAGCTTGAAATCTCAGGAGTAGAAAACGACCAAGGGGCCATCGCTACTATCTTAACAGATAGCTCAAGCGCCCGAGCTCTGACCCACGGGTCGGTCACCAGACGGACAAGACATTTGTCCATTGCTGTGGCCTATTTGCAAAATGCAGTGCAGTGTGGCTTGTTGGTTCTTTACTGGATTGGTACCAACCTCATGAATGCCGATATCCTCACCAAATGCCTTTCAAAGGACAACTTGCGAACAATGCAAGATCGTCTCGGGTTCATCGAGATGAAGCCGCCTGAGATCTGGCAGTTTGCAAGCAAGACCAGACCGAAGCAGTTGCTTAAAATGTTCAACTTTGATAGCTTGAACGCCCGATCCATAGAGATCCTCAAGGTCCTGAATCCAGGAGACTTGGTGATTTATGACATTTGTTCAGAAGCTGGTTTTGGCCTCGCACCACTCTATGGCCAATCCTTCTCGAAAAACAAAATGTACGTCTTGCAGATCACCAAAGATGATGATCTTGAGCGCTGTGCAGATCGGTTGGTCACATGGACCAAGCAGCTGAAATTCCGTGGAGTGTGGGTGTGGTCACACTTCTCCCCACCATGTACAGGTGGATCGCCGATGCAGTATCTGCAGCAGAGCAACCTCGATGCTAGGTTGAGGAAGTATCACCTTGAATTCGCACGACTCTTGAAGCACGGAAAACGTGTTTTGCAGCATGCCGACATCCGAACGTTCGAACTCTCCCGACATTGCAGCTATTGGCGTGAGCCTGATGTACAGGCCCTGATTAGCGATTGTGAGTTGTCTTCTTGTGGTTGTGCGTATGTGAATTCACCGCTGCATCCCACCAACCGGCACACATTTCGAATCCAAGCCAACATTCCGTTCTCTGGTAAACGACGTTGCCGTTGTGAGAATCATCTTCCACTTGATTACCAGAGGTTGAGGGAATATGGGCTGTACCCCAAAGGACTTGTAAGTGAGTTCAAAGGGCACGTAGTCGCTTGGATGGATAGTTGGTGACTCTTGATGTGTGCATGCCGACGTAGTGACTGTGGTTCTTGAGGTACAGCAGCAGTAAGCGCTTATCTGAAAGAAACCTTTCAATAAATTCAAAGTAGATAGACTTGGAAAGGACGGAAAGCAAAATTCAATCACTTGACAGAAACTGCAAATTAGATAAACTTGATGTATGCAATGTCAAATTGACATAAAGAAGCATAGGCTCATCCGCATCACGTGCTCGCCATGGACCGAAGCAGTTCGTGGCATCTTGTGGATGAGGAGGCATCAGCCTCAAGTGTGGTAGCTCCTGCAGCAAGTGCAGGACCAGTGTCTGCACCTCCGATAGGAAGGATTGAGGGTGATCACATCATTCTCAATGAGGATCAGGTGTTCCAACCGCCGCTGCCCCCGCCGGTTTACGTGGCGGTGCCCGTGTTTGTCACACCAATGCCGAAGAGTGCTGCATCAGTACGCTATCGAGTGCCGCCTCCGAACATTCGCGGACGTGCAAATAGTGATGCATCATTTGTGTACAGAGTGCGGCATAAGGCACCTCCGGCAAGCACCAATACCAGTGCTTCAGCATCTACGCGTGAGTCAGTGGGTGGTGATGCCAGCAATCCTGCATTTGGGGCATCAGGACCAAATCCGGTTGGCAACAGGGTCGTGGGCAATAGCCAGGCGCTTGCATTTCTCAGCCCGGACGTTGAGGTTTTCCATCACGCCGATTGCCCACTGCTGCCCAATCGACCGAACTTCAGGGTCTACCAGGCCTCGAGGTGCTGGTCCATGGAACATCTTGATCAGGATCAGGTTCGTCGCGTGTGGAGGAACAGAGGACAGGAAGTGTCACGGGTGTATCACCCCATAGGATGTGGCTGTAGCACGAAGCCATTCCTGCGCCAGCAGTTGCGCCCGTGTCAGCAATGCATTCATCTCTGGGGTAGATAAAAAAAAAAGGAAGAAAAAAAAAGAATATGGCTAGCTCCTGCCTGAAGCTGGACAAGATCCAGACAGGAGAGCAGATGACTTATGTCATCAAATCCGCAGCCGTTTTCACACCGTAGCCCAAAGGGCTCCCTAAGTGTCGATTAAATAGGATCGCCATGACACTTGTGCATGCCAAGGTGCACATTCTTGAATTGGAATGCAGTGAATCTTGGAACACCAAATTGGCATCACAAGCATCATGCACTGTTGAGTGCATCAATCTTTGCATGAAACCAATACAGGCTGTCTCAGCCACTCAGGACTTCCATGTTTGTGAGTGCCGCCGGAAATTTACAAAATATGTAAATAAGAAATCCAGATTGTGGATGACATGCACCACTCTTGTGGAGATTGAGCATCAGCTCAACTTGACATGCGTCCACACTTTTGGTAAATTGGGCATCCGGCCCAACACGTGCAACGGTCAGTGCACAACCCTCACACCGTAGGGGGGTAAGGAAATCCGTTGTATCAGTTGTGCATTATGTAACATAAGAGCAGACGTGTTTGCACCCATGCCATCTCCGATGGCTCAAGACGCATCTCGCCTACGGAAAATGGGCGTGACCTCTTTCTTGGTTTTTGGTCTCCCCTTTGTCTTTTCGTGGTGCGTTTCTGGAAACCCTTGGGTCCCAAACTAGGTTGTGGCCCTTAGTGGGTTTCTTCACGCAGGCCGACACACACACACACCCACCCACCCACCCACCCACCCACCCACCCGCCCGCCCGCCCGCCCGCCCCGCCCGCCCGCCCGCCGCCGCCCGCCCGCCCGCCCGCCCCCCGCCCGCCCGCCCGCCCGCCCGCCCGCCGCCCGCCCGCCCGCCCGCCCGCCCGCCCGCCCGCCCCCGCCGCCGCCCGCCCGCCCGCCACCCACCCACCCCACCCACCCACCCACCCACCCACCCACCCCCAGCGCCGCGCCGCCGCACGCCCGCACGCCCGCACCCGCACGCCCGCGCGCCGCACGCGCCCGCACGCCCGCACGCGCGCGCCCGCGCGCACGCCCACGCGCACGCACGCGCGCACGCCCGCGCTCACGCCCGCGCGCACGCGCACGCGCACGCCGCACACCGCACGACGCACCACGCACGACGACGCACGACGCACGACGACGCACGACGCACGACGACGCACGACGCACGACGACGCACGACACACGCACACGCACACGCACACGCACACGCACACGCACATGCACACGCACACTTACACGCACACGCACCCGCACCCGCACACGCACACGCACACGCACACTCACACGCACACTCACCCTCATACTCACACCACACACTCACACTCACGCTCACACTCACACTCACACTCACAAAGACACACACACACACACCCACCCACCCACCCACCCACCCACCCACCCACACACCCACACACCCACACACCCACACACCCACACACCCACACACCCACACACCCACACACCCACACACCCACACACCCACACACCCACACACCCACACACCCACACACCCACACACCCCACACACACCCACACACCCACACACCCACACACCCACACACCCACACACCCACACACCCACACACACACCCACACACCCACACACCCACACACCCACACACCCACACACCCACACACCCACACACCCACACACCCACACACCCACACACCCACACACACACACACACCCACACGCACCCACACCCACACGCACCCACACGCACCCCCACGCACCCACGCGCACCCACGCGCACCCACGCGCACCCACGCGCACCAACGCGCACCCACGCGCACCCACGCGCACCCACGCGCACCCACGCGCACCCACACCCACCCACCCCATCCACCCACCCACCCACCCACGCACGTCACCCACCCACCCACCCACGCACGCACGCACGCACCCGCACGCACCCGCACGCACCCGCATGCACCCGCACGCACCCGCACGCACCCGCACGATCCCGCGCGCACCCGCGCGCACCAACGCGCACCAACGCGCACCCACGCGCACCCACGCGCACCCACGCGCACTCACGCGCACCCACGCGCACCCACGCGCACCCACGCGCACCCACGCGCACCCACGCGCACCCACTCGCCCCCACGCGCACGCGCGCACCGCGCCCGCGCCGCGCGCCCGCGTTCGCGCCCGCGCACACGCGCCCGCACGCACGCACGCGCACAGCACGCGCACGCGCCAGCGCCCGCGCACGCGCACGCGCACGAGCCCGCGTGCACACGCACGCGCACGCGCACGCGCCCGCACGCAGGCGCACACGCCCACACGCCCACACGCCCACACGCCCACACACACACACACCACACACACACACCACACACACACCACACACACACAACATTTCAGTTACGCGCGTACAGAAATTCAACCATTTTGAGTGCACTGTTGTTCGGCTTTGGCCGCAGCCATTCGGTTGTTGCTCAGAACGCCTTGCTGAAGATGCTGGTTCCCAGCAACTTGGCGGGTGGCATCATCGGGCGCCAGGGCTCTAACCTGAAGGCCTGGTGCAGAGTTCACGGGCGACTTGCCAAAAGGCATGCGGGCTGGATTGCAGTCATTGGGGAAAAGGATTCGGAGCGAAGCCAAAGCCATGAGCTTTCCAAGTATTGCTTCATGCCCGCGAGCTGGACCGAGAGAGGGTAAGGGCTGTTGCGCCAGGCGATTCGGGAGCAGTGCGGCCTCAATGTGCAGGCGGCCCTTTGCTAGTACTTGGGAAGAGCAGTGAGCAGCCTGCTGGCAGATCAGGTTCATGTTGAGGTTCATTCAGCTAGGCGTTGACATTTCGCTCGCGCGATACAGCGCCCTTTTCAAAATGACCTTGCAGAGTGAACCACGTTGCTTAACTGGAGCAGCATCCGGCACAGATTGATCGAGAAGAAGTTTACGGAGAGCGCTTAGTCCGGCGCTGAGGGATCAGCTTTTGCTCTCGGCCCTGGCGCCGGTTGGGATGCGCCAATTGCTTGCCGAAATGGGAGCACAAGGGCCGGCTGAAGCCACTTGTTCGAAGTTTGAATCATTACTCGCTCATCCTTCTTGCAAGAGTTGCTGAAGGAGCCTTTGTGGAGACAAACTGGTTTACGCTCTTGCTGGCCAAGGAAGCAATGTTCAGTTTAATGTCGAAAGTGCAAGCGCTTTTGTTTCCATTGCCAATTTACGATTGGCAACGCATCCACGCATGGCTTGCTGCATGTGGTCCCTGACAATATTTTGGAGACACCAGCCAGCATTTGGGTAGAGCAAGCAGCAATGATAGTGGTTTGTGATCGTGTTTTAGCTGCCCCGTGTCGCTTTGGCAGGCGAACAAACTTGCTGGTTTTGAACTTGATCTCGTCTAAGATGTCGTTTCTTCTGAAGCAAGACAATTTAAGGGCTGCCGCCCTGTGCCGCCGGCCCTACGCATTTTTTGTCGGGCTTAACGGCACACTTAAAGCATATATGAAAAAGAAGCGCAGCACGATACTGATGATGTTTTTGATGATGCATGTTTTTACCCAACATTAGGGATGCTGATGATTATTGCTATGATGCATTATGCATTCGCATCATCGCCAGCAGTTTTATGATGATAATTGGTACTTTGCATTTTAAGAGCATCACCAGCAGTTGTTCTGATAATTATGACGACGCATTCCCTGCATTTCAAACAAGCCACTGCGGGATTAATTCGCATGATAATAACCACCTTGTTTAATTTCACAAGAAGTGCCCCGGGCATGTGGGTCTTTTTTGTCGTGAATGTATTGCTGTGGATGCGAAGTGTGGACTTTGTGCCATCCCTTTGTCTTCGCGAGAAGTAAGCCGAAAGGAACACCTCCAGATGCAATCAGATGCTGATGGTGATGATGATCATGATGATGATGAACTATGCACCCCCGGCATCACCAGCATTTATTATGACAATCATGACAACGCATCCCCTACATCTCAAGTCAGGTCCAACGGCACACTTAAAACGTATGTGAAAAAGAAGAGCGCCACGGTTTTCATGATGAACATGATGAGGAACATGATCATGAAAATGACGATGATGATGATGATGATGATGATGAACATGATGAACATGATGAACATGAAGAACATGATGAACATATGGGCATGATGATGAAGATGATGATGATGATGATGATGATGATGATGAACATGAAAATGGTGATGAAAATGATGATGACGATGATGATGATGAACACCGCCATCATTTTCATCATCATGTTCATCATGATCATCATCATCATCATCATCATTTTCAGCGTCATCATCATGTTCATCATCATGTTCATGATCATGTTCATCATCATGTTCATCATCATCATCATCATCATCATCATCATCATTTTCAGCATCATCATCATGTTCATCATCATGTTCATGCGGGGGACCCCTTTCATAATGTATGCCCCAGTGGGGGGGGGGAATGTATTTAATACATTTTCCACGTTTGCCGCCCCAAGAGTCTTAAGCGCTTTGCCAAGGCTGAGAACCTAAGAAAGCAATATACAGTCACAGCCTTTTGGAAGGTAGGCGCAATTGTAGGTAGACAGAAGCAAATGGTTGCAAATGGACCTGGAAAGGTCCGCGAGTTTGCGGCTCAGTGTTGGAATGCTTTCAAATTAGGTGTTGCGCGATTCTAGAGGCCCATGTGCCAGCAATCCGCATCACGCATTCCGGCAGCAGCCCGAGAACGGGCTTTGCCAAAAACATGTCCTAGAACTCGTACGGAGTGTTGAAGTGGGCATGTAGTACGGCATGTAGCTGAGCAAGCTCCATCTTGTGCTGCCAGGGCCTGATGGAGGCGATGGTGTCCGATTCCTTGATTGTGAGACTCTTCTGCTGCTCAACAGGCGCTGATTTTTGCGCGGACCACGTGGACAAAGCTCAGGGACATATCCGCCAACTTTGTCAAGGTTGCTTCAAGTGGCTGGCCCTGGCCTACTTCAACACCCACTACAATTGTCTCTCCAATTAGGCCCCCCCCCACCGGCGTTCAACAGCTCTAGCTCCTGCATCGCACACGTGTAAAAGCACGCGCCTCCGAGAGGGCCCAAGATTTGAAAGTGTGATGAGGGTCAAACTTCCAGCTCGCTTCGAAGTCAACACTGGGATTGCTTCGGGGGAAGCACTGCGCGCCTTGTTTGGAAGCTTGTCAGTCTTGCTGACGCCACCGTCTTCTGGGGCATCGTGTCGCTCACCTCGGTCTCTTCTTTGAGAAGTAAGTGCCAAGAAGTCAGCTGTACAGATGCGGACCCTATCTACTTGCTAAGTGGTTTACGACCGCCGCTCGTATAGGGCTTGCTGCATTTTGCTTTGAGTAGGGCCGCCCTGAAGACAAAGTACGTGTTTTCACTGCTTTCAAGTGACGCTGAAGCAACGCACTGCCGGATATGAGCCCTAGGAAGCATTCGTTCGAAAGAGTAGTGGTGTTTAGTTTCCTAGCTCAAGCAAGCGCATCGTCGCAGCGCCATGCTGAAGGGCACGAGCTTTGCGCCGTAAGCGAGGCGCAACACAACTCAGCTGGGCCCCTGCGATCACTTCCTGCTCCGGCCAAGGTTCAAGTCGATCCACACCACCCCGTGGCGATCGTCGGTTCTGAGATACATGGAGCCCTCACTAAGCATGCAAAATCCTAGCAAACAAGCTGGTTTACCCAGAGCAATCGGAGCAATGCGTTGCTATCCACTACGTCAGACCGATAGCCGCAGGCTTTCGAAAATTCCAGCAGGGGAGTGCTGACGAGAAAGCCTGTGTGGGAGAGAGCTAGCTGATTGAGCAGCCCCAGCGTTTCCCACATCATTGCAAGCGGGGCCGAGCTGCGATTTAGATACATTCGTTGCAAAGAAGGCCGCCGGCATCGCGAGGAACTAGCTGAAATGGAAGGGCGACGAGTGTCGGATTCGTTGCTGTCCGGATCACAGAGGTGTGAGAAGTCGGGATCACAGAGGTGTGAGAACATCGAACCGGGGCAGGGGTGCCTCTAAATATTTTGAGCAGAGCAAACAGATAGCAAGCAGCGCGCCTTAGCGTATGCACTCATTGTGCTCCAGGGATTCGCGAGGCTGTTGATGCCAGTGTGTGGATCGAGTCCGCGCGACAAATTTGCTAATTCGTCAGAGCGAAAATCAGCTAGACTTCATTGCTGGTAATGCGAATTAGCTAATTCGACAGAGCGAATATCATCTAGACTTCATGCTGGTGATGCTGGCGATGCCGGTGATGCACTCCGTAGATCAAGGCGACGGGTGTCCGTGCGACGAATTTGCTAATTCGTCAGAGCGAAAATCAGCTAGACTTCATTGCTGGTAATGCGAATTAGCTTTACTTCGCCAGAGCGAATCTCAGCGTCTCAGCTAGACTTTATTGCTGGTAATGCTGGTGATGCTGGCGATGCCGGTGATGCACTCCGTAGATCGAGGCGACGGGTGTCCGTGCGACGAATTTGCTAATTCGTCAGAGCGAAAATCAGCTAGACGTCATTGCTGGTAATGCTGGCGATGCCGGTGACGCACTCCGAAGATGAAGGCGACACGGCGACAGGTGTCCGTGCGACGAATTAGCTAATTCGTCAGAGCGAGAATCAGCTAGGCGTCATTGCTGGTGAAGCTGGCGAGGCCAGTGATGCCGTCTGTAGATCGAAATGACGGGCATCCGTGCGACGAATCAAGTAATTCGACAGAGCAAATACGCTGCTTGGTGTAGGTATCAGATGCTGCCACTGCGCCGCTCCCACGAGTCCTGGAATGCCTTGGCTAGTTCCCAGCCCCAAGCGTTTTCAGGGGTCACTTGTGCTTACGCCCGGCGGGCATAAGAACAAGTGGGGGCCAACCGGAACAAGTGACCTGGTCACTTGTTCGCTAAAGTGCCTACTTGTTCTTAAGCCCGCCGGGCGTAAGAACAAGTGACCCCTGACGCAACAATGGCTTTAGCCGCGAAAAAAAGGCAGCCACTGACAAAACACAAATTAGAAACTCTATTGCAGAACGCCCAAATCACAAAAAATGCAGCCCGACCAAGCACGCCAGTGACAGGCCCAGGAAAAACTGTACAACAAATTGGCACCCACACACAACAACCAAATTAGAAGCCCTAGTTGAAAAAGCCCACTTCACGAGAATCATCAGCCAGACCAGTAGCCAGTGCCAGGCCTTGAAAAAATCCAGCTGCACAAAATGCACGGCGAACAAAATAGAATCTTTACATAAAAACCAACTTCACGAAAATCATCAGCCCGACAAGTAGTCCTTTGTAGCCACCTGTGTAGGTTTACATTTCAGCGCCCGGTCGCAAAGGAAACTGTGCGTGCTGTCGCGCCCCGACCCTGCCAGCAGTCGGGCCCCGACCCCGCCAACAGTCGGGCCCCGACCCCGCCAGCAGTCGGGCCCCGACCCCGCCAGCCGACCTTTTCCTGAAGCAGGATGTTTTGAGTAGCACTTCTAATTTGCATGTTGTCTGTGTTACCGCCTTTCTTTGTCCAGCTGGATATTTGTCAGGGCCTGTCACTGGCCTACTTGTTGGGCTGATGATTTTCGTGAAGTTGGTTTTTTCTCCAACAGCTGAAAGCTTTGGGGTCTCAGCCCAGATAGGCTCCGGGGTGGTCCCGGACGGCCCTGAGGTGAGGTCCAATGACGTTCCGTCAGGGTTCCACGAGGTTTTGTGAGGGGTGCGGGGTGGTGCGCGCACTAAAAAGAGCACCGCATGCTGTTGGGGATGTCACCTGAGCTTATTTTTTCAGGTAGAGCGACTGTTTTGAATTTGTTCACCGTTTATTTTTGGCAGCTGGATTGTTTTCAGGGCCTGGCACTGGCCTACTTGTCTGGCTGATGATTCTCGTGAAGTGGGAGTTTTTAGCAGAGCTTCTAATTAGTTTTTTGTGTGGGGTTGCCGCCCTTTTTTTTGCGTAGCTGGA